TCAAGAATAGTGATATCAAGGCCATCGCAGGCGCCGCCAACTTCCTCCTCGAATCCGCCGTGGCAGAGCGGACCCACAAGGCGCAGCAGGGTTTCGTAGTCGGCCGCAACTTCGCCAAGCACATCGTCATTCTTGACGCCGAAATGCGCCGCGCTGGGATACGTCCTGATGCTGCTGACCACCACCCTGTCTTCACCAGCTTCGACTTCGCGGCGGCGTTCCCGTCTCTGGGACGGGCCTGGCTCTTTGCGGCACTCGAGCGCTTCGGGGTCCCCATCGGCCTCATGAGCCTCTTTCGCAACCTGTGCCACGCGCCGAACAGCTTCCTCAATGTCGACGGGGTCCGCCACTTCATGTTCGCCATCGAGTCGGGCGTCGCGCAGGGCTGCCCCGCCAGTGGCTCGGCATGGGCCATCGCGATGGACCCGCTCGTCCGCCACATCGCCTCCTTCATCGAGCACCCCGACGGCGCGCCCGACTACGACAAAGGCTACCTCGGCGTCTGCGCGGACGACACTGGCCTGCTCACATTCTCGTTCGACACGCTGCGCAAGGCATCCGAGCCCTTTTCTGCCGCAGAGGAGCTCGCGCTTCTCTCCCTCGAACCTCGCAAGTGTGGAGTCGTGCCCCTGTGGGCGCCTGTCTCTCCTGCCACCACTGCCCAAACGAAAGCGCTCCTGGCCGACCTCTGTCCTTCCTGGGGTGGTTTCACGATTTCGGGGCGAGCCGAGTACCTCGTGACCTTCCTCGGACCCTCCGCCCCCCTCGCCCTTCAATGGCTCGCCCCAGGGCAAAAGTGGTGGCAGCGCGGCAATTTGCTCAACCTCGTCCAGTCTGGCAGTGATGCCACCGTTCGCTTATATAACACTTCCGTCTTGTCCACGCTCTGCTACGTTGCTCTGTTCTTTCCGCTCGATTCTAAGATTGCTCGCCGCGAACTTTACGTCTCCCGCAAAATGCTCAGCATGCCGCCCGACTCTTATCGGAAGGTAGATCTCATTTCGATGGCGGAATGGAGCCCGCCACCTGTCCCCCGCTCAGCTCAAGTCACATCTGCCGCCGCCGCCATCCGTTCAGCTACTTTCACACTCCGCGGAGAATGGGAACCTTTCTTCCACCGTCTGCGAGACACCGCCTGGGAGGAGAGCACGGTCCATTCCTTCCATCGGTGGGAAGCAGGGCGCTGGTCCCCCCCCTTCTGGGAAGAGACCTCGTCCATCGTGCAGTTCTACCACGCCCTGTCTTGCGGGCAGCGCGTCCCGCCCTTTTCAGCAGCAGCCGTGGCCCTGGCGAACCGCGCTGCACGAGCCGAAATTCGCGAGGCACCTGCTGCGGAGCCGCCGCGTCGCCCGAAGGTGCAGAGGGTGGTCGCGCTCGCTCTGCAGCGTGCCTTTTTTTCTCATCGCCGTTCACTGTCACTCTCACGAAGCGCATCGAAGCCTGGGGACTTCAGCAGCCACCGCCTCCCCCAGAGCTTTCCAGCCGCTGGTCCGCTTCCACAAAAGCGCTCGGAGAGGTCCGCCCCAGCTGGCGCTGGGCGGTTTTCAAATCGCTCAGTGGCGGGTGGACCACCACCCACCGCATGCATGTGCTCGCCCCGCGCCCGTGCGTGCTCGGGTGCCCGAACGCACCCGATTCATTTCCCCACTACCTCTCCTGCCCTGTCCTCCTGAGCCTCCTCTGGTCCCCCGGCTCTGCTCCTCTCCTCAGCGCATATACGACCTGGGGCTTGGGCCCCGCAACCGCGTACCCTTCCGAGCCTGCCAGCGACCTCTCGTTGCGGCAGACGATTCGCAGGATCGCGCTGGCTTTTCACATTTACAACAAAATGAAGCAGTGCGCAGCGCCGTCGCCAGCAAATATTGCTGAAGCGGTGGCCGCAGCGAAATCTCTCCTGTGGCGCTGAGCCGCTGTCCGCCGTTTCTCACGCGCCGCCTCTCTCTGGTCAGGCGTGCGCGGGGCTGACAGACGAGTTCGCCTCAAGGTACGTTCACTCCTCCTCTTCCAGTTTGTCCTCCTCTTCCTCCTCCTCCTCCTCCTCCTCCTCCTCCTCCTCCTCCTCCTCATCTTCCTCCCCCCCTCCCCTCCCTGCCTCCCTCCCTCCCCTCCCTTCCCTCCGCCTCCCTCCTCCTACCTCACCGTCCTAGCTCCCTCCTCCCTCCTCCCTCCTCCCTCCTCCCCGACCTCCCTCCCTCCATCCTCCTCCCTCCTCCCTCTCCTCTCCCTCCTCCCCTCCTCGGCCCTCACTCCCTCCTCCCTCCTCCCCTTCCCTCCTCCTCCCTCCTCTCCTCGTCCTCCTCTCCCTCCTCTATTCCTCCTTCCTCCTCCTTCCTCCTCCTCCTCCTCCTCTCATCCTCCTCCTCCTCTACTCCTCCTCCTCCTCCCTCCTCTCTCTCCTCCTCCCTCCTCCTCCCTCCCTCCCTCCCTCCCTCCTCCCTCCTCCCTTCTCCCTCCTCCTACTCCTCCTCCCTCCTCCCTCCTCCTCGTCCCTCCTCCTCCTCCTCTTCCAGTTTGTCCTCCTCCACTCCTCCTCCTCGTCCTCCTCCCTCCTCCTCTCTCCTCCCTCCTCCCTCCTCCCTCCTCCCTCCTCCTCGTCCTCCTCCTCTTCCAGTTTGTCCTCCTACTCCGAGTTTCTTACTAAGCGTCGGGGGGCGTCACCCCCGACGGCAGCCCCAAGTCGACCCCCCTCGCGGGCAGCCACCGCGCGCCGAAGGTGTTCCGAACCCCGTCACGGCGCGACGACGATGCGAAGTCGACCCCCGTGAGGGGGTACCCCACCACGCTTATCAAGAAACCCAGGGTAGGCATAGGGGGGGATGCATCGACCCCCAATCGCCCATTGTGATCGCCGATAGGGGCCCGATAGCCCCAACCTGCCCAGGAAGGTGCGGATACACTATCGGAGGCCTATCGCCGATCTATCGGCGATGTATCGCCGAGTCCAGGTCGATGTTCCCCCCCCTGTGCCAGTCCCCCCCCCTATCGTTGCCCCTCAGGTACAGACAGGACGGGCACAACAAGTCCAATAACAGTTCCTGTTCGCTTTGATCAGGGCTCGCTGTCCGCGCCGCCGTGGACGTTTTCCATTCGAGACATCAAGCCGCCTGCCCGACAGTGGCCGCTTTCGGTTTTGGACAATGTGTGTGTGTGTGTGTGTGTGTGTGTGTGTTTGTGTGTGTGTGTGTGTGTGTGTGTGTGTGTGTGTGTGTGTGTGTGTGTGTGTGTGTGAATGTCTGTGTGTGTGTGTGTGTGTGTGTTTGGGCATCGCACCCATTTTTCTCATACCCATTTCGGTCGTCCAAACAGGAGGAGGTGAGGTCGCTGGAGGTCGCCATGAAGCGAGCGGATCCTGAGGGAAACGGGGCCTGAGGTCGGAGCCGTCTGGGGGTCTGAGGTGGCCCAGCACCCCAGCATTGTCGGGGAGACGTAAGACTCGAGTATGTCCTTGACGAGCGCGTCCCGGATTCGAACGGTCCAGTTTTCGTGGGATGTCTGCAGCGGGAGCTCGCGTCAAATTTCGGATTGGTTCTCGTCGTTTTTACGACGGCCCCATCAGGCCAACCCGAGTACTCCGCACCTGAGCCTTGCGCCTCCCCGACACTCCTTCCGGCCCGCAGGAAGGGCGAACAGGCTTGAGGCTCTGGGCTCGGCGAGGTTTTCGTTGCCCTTCTCGGCTTCCGCGGGCCGTTTTCGGGCCCAGGGACCGGGAAACACATGGGTCCGAGGTGAGAGACTCAGTTGTCGGGTCGGGAGGGTGGGGTTGGGAGAGACGGGGATATCATTGCCCGCAGGCGGCCGAAGGTATCGTGGATCGCATCCGAGTGCTATTCCTCATGCCCTTCATCCTCCCAACCCATTCCGCCCAACACGATAACTGTTCTCCTAAGAAGCTGTACTCCGAGGTTCTTAATTGGCGTCGGGGGGGCGCCATCCCCGCCGACAGCCCCACATCGACCCCCTGTCGCAGGCAGCCGCCGCGCGCCGAAGGCGCTCCGACCCCCGTCGCGGCGCGACGACGAGGCGAGGTTGGCCCCCGTCGAGGGGGTACCCCCCCCACGCTTGTCAAGAAGCCCAGAGCACCAGAGGTCCGGTCCGGTCCGACACACTCGAAGTCAGCAAGCCGATCGATATGTAGAGGAATATGCAGTGCCGCGATCAAGTATCGCCAATCAAAGCTTGCCAACGTGAGCGACGCGACCCGTTATGTAGACAGGTCAAAGCCCCAGAGGGACCATGGGAAGATGTGGCGTTATGTGGGAAGTGGGGGGGAAGACAAGAACCCAGAAAATATGGGAAAATATGGGGAATATTTTTATTTGTGTGTATTTATTTGTGTGTCCTGGGGCCCCTTCAAAGAAGCCCAGAGCACGAGAGGGACCTATGGGAGGGGTCCAGCGCCACGTCTTGCGCGCACTTGGCCCCCCCTCCCCGGGCCCCAGCCTGCTCGGGCCGCCCCGCGGCCGCCTCCGCTCCCCGAGACTTCTCGCGCCGAGGCCGGGCTCCACGGGCCCCCTCGGACCGTCCGAGCACGCCTCGCTCCGGAACCCGTCTCCCTCCGGAGGCCCTCTGCTTCACGCCAAGAATCGACCTGGCATCGCTCGGATTTCTTTTTTCGAGCGAGGGCAGAGATCGAGAATTTTTTTCTCGGCGAGGACCATCGAGGAGCATCCTTGATCATTTGGCGAAAAAACCACGCACAAAACCGAAAAAAACACAGGAAATGGACGTCCGAGCGATGGCCAGTCGAGGCCTCCCAGAGGGGGCCGCCGCGTCGCCGCCGCATCGCCGATGCATCGCCCACGCGGCTCGACGTGCAGCCCGATTTGCTTCACGTCGACGTCGCCGATGCACCGCCGACGTCGACGATGCATCGTCGGTGCATCGCTGATGTATCGTCGGTGCATCACCGATGCATCGGCGATGCATCGCCGATGCATCCCCGATGTATCGGCGATGCGGCGCGATCCTCCGACCCCATCTACTCCGACCCCATCTAGGAGGCCTCTGAAGAAGGCGCGCAGCCCAGGGAGGCCGGCCGATGCAACCCGCGGCGAGGCGTTCCATGTGCTCCACGCCCAGCTCCGCGGCGTCGCCTGGGCCTTCGGCTTCGGTGCCGACCCTGCGGGCGTCCGGAGGATGCGGCAGTCGCTCCAGGAGCACCTGCGCGAGGAGCCGATCGCCGCTGCTGCCAGGGGCGTCGACGTGCGGCTGCTCAGGTCTCCGCCCCCCAAAAATACACAGACGCCCTCCACTGGATTGTTCCTGGGCCTCAGGGGAGGGTGGCGGTGTAGAAGTCACCACTGAGAGCCAGCGACTTTAAACACCGTCCCCTCTCTGAAGGTACATTTTGCTTGGCGCAGATCTGTCTCGTGGCGTGAGGTCCTTACTGGGCGTGTCTATTTGTTTATAATTAGATGTATACCCTACATACTTGTACATATACACACACATATATATATATATATATATATGTATTTGTACAGGTGTCTGTGCCTATATGTTGGGTGTCTGCGCATATACTGGTGACCTACTTCGAGGTGTCTGTGTGTCTATGTGTATACGCGTGGCGTGAGGTCCCTGCTGGGCGCCTGGTTCTCGGGCGGCGCCGCACCGGCGAGGGCCGAGGGCCCCGCCGCGGCGGGCGCCGCGGAGGCGGAGGCCCGTCGCCGAGCGCGCTCCGCGACCCGCAGAGTGCCTACCCGCAAACGCGCGGAGGAAAACCTCTTCGAGAATGCCTCCTCCTCCTCCTCCTCCTCCTCCTCCTCCTCCTCGTCCTCCTCCGCCTCCTCCTCCTCCGCCTCCTCCTGCCTCCTCCTCCCCCGCCTCCTCCGCCTCCGTCCTCCTCCGCTCTCCTCCTCCTCTGCCTCCTCCTCCTCCTCCTCGTCCTCCTCCTCCTCCTCCTCGTCCTCCTCCGCCTCCTCCTCCTCCTGCCTCCTCCTCCCCTGCCTCCTCCGCCTCCGCCTCCTCCGCCTCCTCCTCCGCCTCCTCCTCCTCCTCCGCCCCTCTACTCAAGCAGTGGCGAAGCGTCCTGGCGTGCCTATAGGCCTACCAAGCAATGTTCTGAGAGCCTGTCGTGGTCTGCACGAAGTGTTCTTGGAACATTTCTGGCTGGGACCGTCATTTTTTAACACATGAGGCTCATGTTTTAAGAACATTGTTTTTGTTATGAGAGTATTTTTTGTTTCTAAGAACATGTCTTGGTAGGCCTACAGGAATGCCGGGACGGTCGGTGACTACTGTTGACCATTTTTGAATATGGTTCGACCATTTTTTGATGTTCCAGATCCGCCTGTAGGAGGACATGCCCGACCCAAGGTTGCGTCGGAAGAGGTGTGGGCCACAGGGAACCCAGACCCCCTCGACTCATGAACAACTCACGGCGGGAGCGCGCTTGCAGGGCCCAGCGTGTTGCCGGGGCCGCCAGGGCGACGCGCTAAGCGACAGTTCCCGACCAGCTTCTCTCGGCCCCGCCGCCTGCGCCTTCCTCGATACGTGGGTGCCTCTGGCGCCAAAAGGCGCTGAGAAAACCAGCTGCGTGAGCCGATTCCTGCGCCGCACCCCTGACTACCCCAGACTCCCGACGTCATGATTGTTTCATCACGTCGGCCAGCAGAGGTCTCGACCCATTCTCCAGGATCAGTTTTTCATCCTGAGTTCGTTGCTCAAGAGACGGGGGTCGATGCAAACGGGGGGCAGCCAGATCGCCGGATCTTGCAGGATCCTGCAAGGCCAGGGGTGCACTGACCCGGGCTTGGGAGCAGGATCCTGCAGGATCTTGCAGGATCATGCAGACTTGGGTTTGGGTTGACCCGGGTCAGTATATCCCCGATGAGTCATCTTTTGACAGTTCCGAGGCCTGTCGAGGGAGGACCCCCAGACGTACGTCGGAAATAGCGAATCAAAAATCATTGTCGCGATTTTGCCACGACTCCAGGGTGTCTGGGACACGCGCTCGCTCTCTCGGAGGCCACGATTCACCTCGTGAGTTTCCTTGTCGCAGGTCGGCTCTTGGGTTGCACCCGGTTCGCCTTGCGGCTCTTTTAATCACATGACAGCTGAGGACGTGCATTGTGGAGTTCGTCTGTATGGACAGATTAACAAGAAATTGCCACTAACCCTTTGGGAGGTTACTTAAATTAGGAGGTCCAAAACATGAGGGATAGGGGATCTTTTCTGCAGGTGTATCGAACCAAACCGCCTAGAATTATGATCCCTAATGCGAAGACGAGGACCTCAGTGAGGCCACGTCTTCATCGTGTTATTCGGGTTAGGCTGTTTCTTTGCTTTCGATGATGGAATAAAGCAAATCACGTGCCCCCCCGGTTGAACAGTCGCGGGCTCTTGCAGCTTTGACTTGGGTCAGCCAGTGCAGGTCTGTCGGTCGTTGGTCCTGCGGCTTGATGGATTCTTTATATTGCAGTGCACTTCTCCAGTGATCAATTCCTGGTCATCTGTTTCGGGCGCGACTTCTGGACATGCTAACGCAAGCATCTATAACACTGATCCCTTTTCGCTTTTTACAGGAGGGAGCAAAACACACATAACCACACACACACGCTCACACACCCACACACGCACACACACACGCACACACACACACACATGCACGCACACACGCACACACACACACACGCACACACACACACACACACACGCACGCGCGCACGCACACACACAAGCACACAAACACACAAACACCCCCCACACACACACACACACACACACACCCACGCACGCACGCACACCCGCACGCACGCAAGGACACGCACACACACACACACACACACACACACACACACACACACACACACACACACACACACACACACACACACACACACACACACACACACACACACACACACACACACACACACACACACCACACACACACACACACACACACACACACACACACACACACACACACACACCACACACACACACACACACACAACACACACACACACACACACACACACACACACACACACACACACACACACACACACACACACACACACACACACACACACACACACACACACACACACACCACACACACACACACACACACACACACACACACACACACACACACACACACACACACACACACACACACACACACACACACACACACACACACAACACACACACACACACACACACACACACACATACACATACACATACACATACACATACACATACACATACACATACACATACACATACACATACACATACACATACACATACACATACACATACACATACACATACACATACACATACACATACACATACACATACACATACACATACACATACACATACACATACACATACACACACTCACACACTCACACACTCACACACTCACACACTCACACACTCACACACTCACACACTCACACACACACACACACGCACACACACGCACGCACGCACGCAAACACACACACACACAACGCACACAACACACACAAGACACACACACACAACACATATACATAGTTACACGTACGCACACACGCACACACGCACACACGTTCACACGCACGCACACACGCACACACACACGCACACACGCTCACACGCACGCACACACGCACACACGTGTGCGTGTGCGTGTGCGCGTGTGCGCGTGGGTGCATGTGTCCGTGTGTGCGTGTGTGCGTGTGCGTGTGTGCGTGTGTGCGTGTGTGCGTGTGTGCGTGTCCGTGTGTGCGTGCGTGCGTGTGTGCGTGTGTGCATGTGTGCGTTGTGTGCGTGTGTGCGTGTGTGCGTGCGTGCGTGTGCGTGCGTGCGCGTGTGCGTGCGCGTGTGCGTGTGCGTGTGCGTGTGCATGTGCGTGTGCGTTTGCGTGTGCGTGTGCGTGTGCGTGTGCGTGTGCGTGTGCGTGTGCATGTGCGTGTGCATGTGCGTGTGCGTTTGCGTGTGCGTGTGCGTGTGCATGTGCGTGTGCGTGTGTGAGGGTGAGCGCACACGCACACTCATACGCACACGCAGACACACACACACGCACACGCACGCACGCACGCACACAAAAAACACAATCACAAACACAAACACAATCACAGACACAAACACAAGCACACACACACACGCACACACACACACAATCGTCGATTGCCCGGAACATATAGAAAATGTGGGAAGTGGAGGGGAAGACGAACATCCTGGACATAGAGAAATTATCGGAAATCCTTGGATGTGTGTCTAGATATTTGTGTGTCTTTGGGCCCCTTCCCCCCCTTGTCGGCCCGAGAGGTACGGGTGAGGCACGCGCTCTCGGGTGCCGAGGCGGTGGTGCACGTCCCTGGTGCGGCGACGATGCTGGAGGTCAAGGGGGCGCTCGCCCAGCAGCTGGGCCGCGCCGAGATCCTCCGCAGCACGCGGCTTGTCAGGCCGGCGGCGTGCGCCAATCCCAAATCACTTTGAGTCATGGAAACATCACGACGGGAGGCTTTTCGCCATTTTCGGCCCCTGGGGGGGCCCTTACCGGGGCCTCGGGGCCGTCAAAACAAGTTGGGATGAAAAGCCGGTCCCGGGGAGTGGGTCGAGATCTTTGGGGGTCGACGCCATGAAAAAATCATGACTTCGGGTGTCTGGGATCCAGGGGGTTGGCGCGAGGGATGGCGGTGGCCTTCCGAGAACCACTACTTACCAAACCACCCCAACCCAACCCAACCCGAATGGCCCAGACTAACCCGAAGTTCTGGTGGGGGGATGTGCGGGGTCCGCCGTGTTTTCCAACTGTGCTGGAGCGCCCCCCCCACACCAGAGATTTTGACGACCCCAGCGGTCACTTCGGATTGGGTTGGGGTGGCTTGGTAGGTAGTCAGAGAAGGGGGTGGGGGTGGGGGGGCGCGCCGAGAGGGCAAGGGGCGCGCTGGGAGTCCTCTGGGGGCCCTCTCTCCGAGGCTACTGGGCCCTCCTGCGCTTCCGGGCAGGCTTCTTGAAGGCCCCCGGGCTCTCCTGAGAAGCCGCCCTCGCATTCCAAGAGCCCCCCCCCGCGCTCTCAGACGCCGACCACCCTCGCGCCCCCCCCTCGTGCGCTCCGCCGATCAGGGCCCACCGAGGAGCCGCGATGGTCGCCTACGAGGACCAAGCAGGGCTGAAGCATCCTGACTTCATCGACCAGGCCCATCAAGGAATGTTCCGAGAACCGCTCTCGGTTTGCGCGGTTCTTGGGGCGGTTCTGGCCGAGAGCGCCTTGCACTGTTGCGCACATGGGTCCTTGTGTTCTGAGAGCATCCTGTTCGTAGCGAGTACATTCTTCCGTTTCAAGAAGACTCTGCGGTAGGCCTGCAGCCTGCAGGAATGCCGGGTGGTCCGTCCCTGCTCCCCGGACCCCCGACGACATGATTTGCTCAGAACGTCGACCCACAGAGGTCTCGACCCATTCCCCGGGACCGGTTCTTCATCCCGAGCCGTTTTGGTTACGCTCCCCAGGCCCGCAAAGGGCTCCCCCGGAGCCGAAAATTGGGAGAAACCTCCCGTCGTGGGGGCCTGGGGAGGAGGAGGAGGAGGAGGAGGAGGAGGAGGAGGAGGAGGAGGAGGAGGAGGAGGAGGAGGAGGAAGATGAGGCTGCCCGCGGAAGGTCGCGCGTGAGTGTCCGCGTTTTCAGCGTAGCGTGCCGCGCTGGCGGCCCGCGTGAGCCACCGCGTAAGGTCGCTGTGTCGTCTCGCGTGAGGCCCGCCTCTTGCCGCCGCCGCTCCAGTGCGAAACACTTCCTGCCGTGATTCTTGTTCCGTGGCCGAGGGGGGGGCCTGCGGTCGGTCCCTTCTCGAGAGGACGGGGAGCCGCTCGGCGGCCGGACCCGCCTGCTGGCCCTGGGCCCCGACCTGGCGCGCAGCGGGAGCCCGGCGCGCGGGGGCTCCGCCGAGGGCCCTCGGGACAGCGGTGGCGCCCGCGGCCAGTGCGCCGCGGGGGGTGCCCTCGGCAAGCGGCGGAGGCTGCCGCCCAGAGCCGGGGCGGAAGGTCGGGGGACGTCCTCGGGCTCCAGATTGGAACGATGGTCCCAGACCCTCTTCGAGTCATGGAAGCATCACGGCGGGAGGTTTTTCGCCATCTTCGGCCTCTGAGGGCCCTCACCGGGGCTTCGGGGCCGTCAAGAAAACGACTGAGGATGAAAAGCAGGTCCTGGGGAGCGGGTCGAGACCTGTGGGGGTCAACGAGATGAAAAGGTGACGTCGTCGGGGGTGTGGGGTTAGGGAAACTGACGCATGGATTAAGGCAAGCAGGTTAGCGACGTGTCCAAGAACTTGTTTGTACGTGCGCACGTCGGGCACTTCAGTTTTACAACGCAAAGTCGCGTGCATCGGTCTTGACAACGGAGCGGACTCGGAATGTTTCACCGACTGCGGGCAGTTTCACCACGCTGCTTGCGCCCCGCGGGTATGCTCGCTGATTCTGTGAATGGCCGCCAAGAAACCAGCCTAGTGGGGGCCGCGTGGCCGCAGTGTTGGCTGGGAGGTTCTGGCAAGGCCTCGGATGCCCACCAAGGCACGCGGGCCCCTTGCCCCGCCCCCCCTCCCCCGCCTCCGTGCCCTGACCCACCCGCCCAACCATGCGCGTTAGCCTCCGAGCCACCAGGGCACAGGTGTGTCGATCGCACTCGGCACATCACTCTCGTCGTCGTCGTCCGTCGCGGATTCGTGTTGCATGTGCGAAGGGCTGCAAATAAGGGGCAAAGGACAACATGGATTAGCCGAGCGGCCCCGGGGACCAAACAAAAATGATGGAGGTGCGCTGGATGGGGGCCGTGGTCCGTTCCGCTTATCCATGGATGCAGGCCCCCTTGGGCCCGTTTCACTCAATCCATCGATTCACGGCCCTGTCTTCCCAGACGGCGGCCGAAAGCGCAACGGTGGAGTCGCGCAGTGCCGGTGGCCTCGCCCACGAAAGCCACCACCGCAAGATGGCGCGGTTCTGCGGGCGCGCGCAGGCGGTGCGTGGCCGCGGTCGCAGCAGGGATTGGAAATGCCCCCCGCAAGCTGCAAACCACCTTGCGCCGATCGCAACCAGCCGCAATGCAATTACAGCCCATCCGGAATCGGACGACCCCTTTGTGGCACTCCGCCATGGGGCAGATGTGTCGATCGACTAGTCATTTTGATTATGTCCCCCCAGCGCCCGCGTCGCAGATCCACGGATCACTAATCTCTGTTAGCGTTTGCCTGAGATGGGGGCCCCGCCAATTCCAGACCCCTTCGAGTCATGAAAAAGACACGACGGAACAGTTGTTTTGAATTTTTTAGCCTGCGGGGGCCCTCACTGGGCCTCGGGACCGTCAACTCACGGCTCAGGATGAAAAACCGATCCCTGCGAATGGGTCGAGATTTCTGGGAGTCCACGCTTGGGCCAGATTCTGGACTAGAGCGATGGGGGCAGCGCCCAGGGGGGTGCGGCGGGAGGTACAGCAGTTCGCTTGCGCGAGCGATTGCGCGATCGCTTGCGCGGACAGCTGCCGGTAGGGGGCACGAACTATTGCAAGGGGCTTTTGAAAGAAGACGCGGTTGCATCCACGCGCGACTATGGCGTCCAGACCGCTAAGTATTGCATCCATACAGCAAAAAACTACTGCAAATACTAATGTACACCTACTCCAGCCCCACCATCTGTGCTACTCCCATTACTCTGGCGTGAACAGGCATTCGGCGTTTCGAAAACATCGAGGCTGCCGTTTTTCACCGTTTTCGGCCTCTCGGGGGCCTCTTCGAGCCTCGGGGCCGTCACACAGCGGCTCGGGATCAAAAGCTGGTCTCGGGGAGGTGGTCGGAGGTCGGGGGCCCGTGCCTCGAAACAATCGGGACGCAGGATGCCTGGGTCAGCTGACCTCCTCACCAGTCCCTTGCCAGTCCCATGATCGGTGAGCGCAGGGGCCTCCCGGGCCAGGCCTGGAGGGCGAACGAAAAACGCCGCTCCTGAGGCGCCCAGGATCGGGCCCCTGGCGAGGATCGGTGAGGCGGCTGGTTGACGCCTCGCCGCGAAAGGGGAAGCGAGCTTGGGCTCCGCGCTGCCCCGGGAGCAGGGTGGGCTCACGCTGGAGCGCGCTCACGAGCTGCTCGGGAGGATGCGCGCGACTTGCGAGGACCCCGAGTTCCAGGGCCAGCTGATGCAGCTCTTCCGGCAGCAGAGGGGCGACCGCTTCAACACCAGGGGCATCGGCTTCCTGTTCGCCGAGGCCTGCAGGCCGCACGTGATCGGGGCCGGCTTCCCAGACGACGGGCAGGGCTTCGGCCAGATGTTCCGTGCCGTCCGCCTGCTGGGCTCCGATCCCACGGTCGTCCGCGAGACAGCGCGCAGATCGAAGAATAAACAACAGCATACGCATGATGTTTCGGAGCTCCGCGCGGACTTATTTGATCTGCGCTGACCCCCCTCACAATCCCTGGCGCGCGGAGCGCGCCAGGGGCGGCGCCGCGAGGGGGTCCCACTGCCGATCCAAGAACTCCGCGCGGAGCTCGGAGAGCCGACGCTCCTGCCGTTTTTTGCTCCTCTGGCCTCGAGTACCTGCTGTGGGTGCCGCTGGGCTCGTGGTTCGGGCTCGCGCGGCGGGCGGGCGCCGCGGAGCTGGGGCTCCCCGGGGCGAGGGGGCTGGCGAAGGCCCTCCACGGCAGGTGCCGTCGGCCCGAGGTGCTGGCGCAGCTGCGGCAGGCCACCGCCGCGGACGAGCTCGGGGGCACCGCGGCCCCGGCCAGCGCGCGGCGCGCGCCGCTGCCGAGGGCGCTGCGCTCCTGGCACGGGCTGGGCCGCCACGGGGAGCTGGATCCCGAGGATCGGGTCGGGCGACGGGGGGGGGGCACGGGAGGAGGGGGCGGGGGGCGAGCTCGCCTGCATGCAGCTGGTGTCGGCCTTGCCGTCTGGCGCCTTGCTGGATACACTGGCTCCTCCAGCGGCGGGGGCCGCCGGGAGAGCCAGCTGCGTGATCCGATCCGCTGGCCCCCCCTTGCCTACCCTCCGGTTCCCCTGTCGTCGGGCTTGAGAGGAGTTGAAGAGGCAGGTGTGGTGGGGTGCGACTGCCGACGTGATGGTTGAGTTCGGATTCGACTGGGACGTCGCAGGCTACCAGCAGATGTGTGCAGCCCTCGCACGGTATCGGGACGACGCTGTCGTTCACTATGCGCTGGCCAGCGTGGAGAGGATCTTCTCTTGGCCAAGCGGCACGCTCTTCTCTGGCGAAGGGGAGTACGAGGCGGCACCGGCAACAAACGCAGCTGCAGCGGTGTGCATGCGAGGCTCGACGGTGCGGGTGCTGGTGAGGCACGCCCTGAACAAGACTGAGATCTGCATCGCCGTGGCGGCCACGTCAACCATGCGCGACGTGCGGCAGGCCGTCGCGTGCCAGCTCGGGCGCAGCGACGTGGTCGAGGCCGGGAGGCTGGTGCGGCCCACGGGGCGGGCGTTCGTGTCCTACCGGGACGGCGAGCCCCTGGGCAGGCGGCGCAGGCTCCTCTTCCTGGGCCCAGACCTCGCGGCCGCACGGCCGCCGGCCGTGGCGGTGCTGCCTCTCCAGAGGTCGGCCATGCGCAGAGGGGGGCTTGAAGGGGGGGAGAGGGGACGCCCTCGAAGGAGGAGGCTGCTTCTCAGAGGGCGCCTTCTAAGAAGCGACCTCCATCTAAGGAGCCTTCCCCCCTCCCCAGGACCCCTTCTCTGCGCGCCGCCCGAGAGGGCCCAGCACCTCATGCAAGAGCTCGCCAGGATCTGCAGCGGGGCCGACTTCCAGAGACAGGTGGACGCCGCTCACCGCAGCAGGCACTCAGGAGGGAAAGCAGCCACACAGACACAAACAGTCGTCGATTCCACAGGAAATCTGGAACAGATAGGAAGTGGAGGGGAAGACGGACATCGAGACAACATGGAAGATATGTGGAATCCTGGGATCTGCGCCTATTTGTTTGTGTCCCTGGGCCCCTTCAGGCGCGACGAGCCCACGATCAAGAAGATCAAGGGCTTTCTGTTCGTTGCGGAGTGCGGGAAGGCTCTTGAGAGCGTTGGCATCTCGGGAGACCGGGCCGGCTTTTGCCTCATGTTCGGCGCGGTCTACGAGCTGCGCTCAGACCCGCAGGTTGCCAGCCTGGCGCGCGAGGTCGAGGGCTCCCTCCGTGTGAAGCCGGGGTCCTGGCTCTGCTTCCCAGAGGCCGAGGGCTCCGAGAGCAGGGAGCTCCTGGCGCAAGAAGCGCTGGTGCTCGCCCGCGGCACCAGTGCCTGGAGCGACCCTCCCTCGACGCGCTCGCGGGCCCGCGCGAGGGACCCCGGCCGCAGGTGCGGGCCGGGCGACGCTGTGGCAGACGGCCCGCGCGTCCTCGCCGGGCCGCCGCAGCGCTCGGCCAGAGCGGTCGACCGCGAGGGCGCGCGGACGTCGCCGCGGGGCGGCACGGCGCGCCCCGCGGGCGCCGGAGCCGTCGCCGCGGAGCACATGGCCCGGGCGGAGGCCAGGCGGCCGGGGGAGGCCGGGCCGGAGCGGAGGTCGGCGCGCCCCCGGGTGGAGGCCGGCGGTGGGCCGGGCGAGCCGCAGGCTGCCTCGTCGAGGGCGGTCGGAGTCAAGCAGTGGCCAAGCGTCCTGGCTCGCCTAGGGCCCGACCAAACAATGTTCTTAGAACTTCTCGTGGTTTCCACGAGATGTTCTTAGATAGCACTTCTGGTTGATATTGTCTTGTTTTAACACATCGGGTTTATGTTCTGAGAACATTGTTTTTGTTCTTAGAACATGTCTGGTTTCAAAGAACATGTCGTGGTTTGACTAGGCATGCCGGGACGGTCGGTCCCTGCTCAACAGAGGAGGGAATCGATAACACACAAGAGTGACCTTTCGCCAGAGTGAACTTTTTTGGTGCGGGCCCACTATAGGGCCCCCCGATCGCTGAAGGCGATGCGATAGCAGCGGCTTGCTCGCTTGTGCCTGGCTCCCCCGCGGCCTCCAATAAGCCGCGCACCGAAGGTCACTCTGACTCAGGGTCACTCTTGCGTGCAGTCGAGGGAAGGGTGGGCCCTTCTCCCTCGTTTTCGCCTGCAGGGGCCTCCCAGGAGGCGCTCGTCGCCACGACTGCATATTCGCCTCGAGCGCGCCCATGGAGTGGTCCGGGGAGCGGGGTACCTGCACCTTCTTGTGTCGGGCGACGGCTCCCATGCGTATCCACTGCCCCCTGGCCCGGGCCCTTCCTGGGCCCAGGAGGTGTGCATGCGCCTTCCTGGCCAAGCCAGCAGGGCGTGGCATATACACACCGCTGCTGGGCGCAGGATAGGCCTGGCCAGGGAGCCGTGGATATGCATGGATTTCGTCGCCCTAGCTTGGTTTCCCCAGGCGGCGGCAGCGGCGACGAGCCAGCCGTGGGCGGCGGGGGCGAAAGGTGAGCTTCGCGAGCCTCGGGGGCAGGCGCCCCGGGGGCAGCGGGCCGGGGCGGGAGCAGAGAGTCCAGCAGGCGGCGCGCTCGACGGTCGCAGCCAGCGAGCAGACGAGCGGGGCAGGCACGACTGTGCCGACTCGCCTGTCGGCCGGGGTGGTGCCACGGGCGTGGGCTCGGACGGGGAAGGGTTCGAACGCATCCTGAGCGGCAGCGCAGACAGCATCGACAGCAGCGGTGCTGGTCGTAAGGGGCACCGCGCCGGGCACGATGTTCCTCTCTGGGAGGGGTTCGCGCCGGTGGAGCGTTTGCCGCGAGCTCGGGAGCGGGCACTACAAGGGTGGCTGCTTCTGTCCGAGGATGCCCAGGACGCGGTCCCTCAAGCTGACAGCGGCAGTGGCAGCAGAGCCGCGTCGGAGAGCACGGACTCAGATTTGGAGGAGGCCTCGCGGGTTATCCAGGAGGTGACCGGGCAACTGGTCGGCCTGGCCGAACAGCTGGTTGTCTCGCCAGCAAGGCAGAAGCGGGAGATCTTGGCGCGCAAGCGGGAGCTTGTGAATTCTGCAAGGTACCAGGCCGCGCTACGGTGCATCGCGCAGCCACAGGACAGCCGGTCGTCCGCTCAGCTTTGCGATGCAGCAGTCGCAGTCACCCGCAAGCAGCTTCCGCGGCCGAAGGAAGGATCGGACGGATGAGACTATAAAGCGACGGCCCCAGATGCAGAAGACAGCATACGGGAGGGCACGCGAGGTAGCTGCTTCGGGGCGGAAGTCGTCAGCATATACTCGGAAGGGAAGCCAGAAAGCCTGGTCACTGGTGCCCCCGCGGCCTGCTTGTTCGCTCGGAGTGCGCTCGGCATGCTACCGCGTGGCACCCGTCTCGCACGGCGTCCAAAAGATAGGGTGCGACTCCTGCGACAACGCGCATGCCGCCCGTGTTTTCCAGGCCGAGCTTGCTGGGCGCACGATTTGGCGGACCAGTTCGGGCGGGCCTCTGCATCTGTTGCCGGGTTCTCAGCTGCAGGCGGCGTGCATCTCGCCTCCAGCTGCAGGCGGCGTGCATCTCGCCGGAGGAGCGGTGCTCTGAAACATCCATGCGTTGTCCGTCTGAGTCGCAAAGGCTCACGATCGGCATAGACATCGTCAGGCCAGTGAGTGAACGGGCGGCAGCCGAACACACTGCGGTCCTCCAGGCGACAGTGGTCGTGACCTTCGCGAAACGAGGAGTGGGTCGACTTGTCTGCGACCTCGCCGGCCATGCGGGGGAGCGACGAGGCAGAGCGGCGCGAGCTGAGGCCATCAGCTTGAAGCGCGCGAGTCGAGCCGAAGGCTCGAGGGTTTCAGGCTCCAAAGCGGCCCGTGGCATCCGCAGGCACTCGCCGCGGTCTGCGGCTTGGCTTGGCGCCTCGTCGGTGGGCTGTGCGTCGGCGACGAGCAATCGCGCATCGTCTTCTCTCTCCCTCACGTCTGCCATTGGCATCCGGGTTCCAGAGGCGGCGAGGAAGTTTTGGGGTGACCAGTCGTCAGGGGGGCTCCCGTAGTCCTCTGGGGGGGAGCCCTGTATTCCGGGGTGGTCCCTGCAGTCCGGGGGTGGGGTTCCTTGTAGTCAGGGTTGGGGCCCTTGTCGTCCAGGGGGGGGGTGCTTTTTAGTCCAGGGGGGGGGTCCTGTAGTCCGGGTGGGGTGATGTGTTGATCTTCGTGGTTTGGCATTCCGCTCGACGACGGCGACGACGACGACGACTACGACGACACGCGTGTGCGCAAGCCGCGCAGCTCTGATCTACCGCCACGCCGCACGCAACGTGTACAACGCGCAATGCGCGAGCAAGTGCGCATTCCTGTCGTCTGGCGGGCGCGCGGCGATTCCGCGGCAGTGCGCGCGCGCGCTCGCGCGCTCGCGTACGAGGAGCCTCTCTCCGAGACACGCGCCAACCTCCGCCGCTTGTCTATCACTCGCTATCCGGGAGTGCTGGGAGAGTGCCTGAAGTCCGGGATGGGGCCATTGTAGTCCGTGGGGGGGTCCCTGTAGTCCGGGGGGGGTCCTTGCAGTCCAGGGGGGGTCCTTGTAGTCAGGGGGGGGGCATGTAGTCAAGGGGGGGCTCCTGTAGTCCAGAGGGGCGGTCGGGGGGGCCCATGTAGTCAAGGGGCCAAAATCGACTTGTATGTATGCTCATACGTGCATGCCCGCCACGGTCCGGTCGAGACGTCTGAAGAATCACCGTCGTTGGCCTTTCAGGGCTCATATCGACCATGTGAGCAGTCCATGGATCGTTGACGTGTCTGGCATGGGCCTCCTACTCCTCCTGCCAAAGTTGGAACTTTGCCGAAACCAATATCGACGCTATGTTTGCGCTTCCTTGAGCGTGAGTGCACCTTTGATTACATAATGATGGATGCGTCTTGATATTCCTCCTAGTGTGTGTGTGTGTGCGTCTCTACCCAGAGGGTCGCGGGGTTCAAATTTAGACCCGGAGCCTAAAAATGAAAATACGGGAAGTGGGGGCTCAAAATAAACCTACCCGAGATAGGGGGTGTAAAAATACTGGCGGCATCGATTTCGTATAGCTCTTATGTTGAATTCGATATATGAATGCATTGGGTGTAAACATACGCCCCAGACTCTGAACACGAACGCCTGGGGGGTCTAAAAACCAACGCGTTTGTCAAGTACACGGGGCAAAGCAAATAGCCCCCCTACACATACATACATACATACATACATACATACATACATACATACGTACATACATACATACATACATACATACATACACACATACATACATATACATATACATATACATATACATATACAACTACATATACATATACAAATACATATACATATACATATACATATACATATACATATACATATACCTATGCATATACATATACATATACATATACATACAAATATTCATATACATATGCATCTACTTATACATTCACACCTACATATACATATACATATACATATGCATATACATATACATATACATATACATATACGTATACATATACATATAATATACATATAATATACATATACACATATATATACATATGCATATACATATACATATACATGTACATATACATATGCATATACATATACATATACATATACATGTACATATACTTATACATATACATATACATATACATATACATTTACATTTACATGTACATTTACATTTACATTTACATGTACATATACATATACATACATACATACATACATACATACATACATACATACATACATGTATGCATACATACATACATACATACATACATACATACATACATATATGCATATGTATATTTATACATATTTGATGCGTATATATATGTATAGATCATGTGTATATAACCCGGGGAGGGTGGGCCAGCTGTGGGTGCCTTAGCCTTTGGGCCAGCTGTGGGTGCCTTAGCTCCCCCCTCCTCCTCCTCCTCCTCCTCCTCCTCCTCCTCCTCCTCCTCCTCCTCCTCCTCCTCCTCCTCCTCCTCCCCTGTATTCTCGATTATCCTGGAAGCTGCGGGAGTGGAGGGAGGGGAAGGGGTGGGCAAGGGGGGGAGCCAAGTGTTTTGGTTTGTCTCCCACGTGCTTTCATGCAAACGGCCATCACGAAAAGGGCCAGACAGCAGGGATGTAGCCGTCGCGCTGGAAGCTTGGCGCGAGGACGCTATCCATCACCAGCATGTCGTACTGGATGTACCTGAGAGTTGCAACGCAATATGTAAAATCATCACCAGCACAAAACACACAACACACCAAAATAAGTCAAAACGCCCAAGGGCGCTCGTACGGGCAGCCCTCGTCGCCAGTGCTCCAGGCCAGCGCGATCATGTATGGGTCGACCTCGAGGTACTGGCGTCGCCATTGCCAGACGGGCACGCACCAGGTCTCTGGAAGCTCGCCCTCGCGGGCCAGTGCCAGTATTCACACTGATTTTCTGGCAACGGCAACTCGAGGTAGTCGGGGGCCCACTCGGGGGCCGCCGGTTGGAAGTGCGGGAGCGGGAACGGGGGGCGGGGGCCCGCCGCGGGCCCCGTAACCTCCTCGGTCGTTGAGGTCCAGGCCTAAATGCGGCGGCGGGCCCCCGGGCCCTTGGTTCCGCATCCTGAGCCAGAGCGCGAGGGGATGCGAGGCCGGAGGTCTGGGGGAGGGGGAAGAGGCAAGGGGAGGAGGACTCCTCAATCCTTGTCTCCACTGGTCCTGGGTCACGCAATCTATATATCATACATACATGCATACATACAGAAGTACAGTGTATATATAATACATCTATGCGTAAATAAGCCCCCCCCCTGCAGGGGGCTCAAAACATGTGTGCTCGATAAGATGTAGGGGTGCAACTACTAGGTGTAGTTTTAAGACCCCGACTTTACAGGGGGCGTATAAATCAAAGGGATCATGGCGCACATCTTCAATAAGCCCTCCAGGGAACGGGGGCTAAAGATCGAGCCCCCCTTTTTGTTGGGGCCCCGGGCCCAAACATCAAGGTCAGCGACCCTCTGGGTAAGTTACCATAGAAGAAGCAATACCAGTGGATCGACACTGCTTGAAAGTGAACATAGGATTTGCCGCCCCCATCTGATGGACTCCTGACTTGGAGGCAGTCGAGTTCGAGCAATCTGGTCCGGGAGCCCTCTTTGGTCTGTGTTCGGTCAGTGTATTTGATCGTGGGCCATACTGTTGCATCCTGCTGTCATGTTGGGATTGGTAATCGTGGGGCCTTACTTGGGTAATCGAGGGACGTCTTGGGTGCAGCTTGAGACCTCAGGGGGCATCTGGGAGCCATCTTTGGCGATCTTGGAGCCGTCACGGGGTCCGTGGGGCCACCGTCTCCAGGCCTCTTGTGAGCAGCCTGGGCCAATCTTAGAGCAGTGTCGATCGATGGCGGTTCCCTTTTGGAACGCTTGGGGACCGTCTCGGGCCATGCGGCGCGTTCCAAGAACGGGCTTCGCCCTCGGCGCGTCTCGCCCTCGGCGGAAGGCCGGCGGAAGGCCAGCACACGCTGGCGGAAGGTGAAGCAGAGGCGGGTCCGCCAACGGAAGGCCAGTGGACGAAGACGCGGGGCACCACAGGCAGGCCAGATCCCAACCCCCGACGTCATGAGCTGGTCCTAGCGTCGACCCCTAGAAGTCTTGACCCATTCCCCAGGACCGGGTTTTTTCCCCACCCGACAGGTTTGGGTCGTTAGCTTTCAAGAACAGATCTCCCAGCCCGCCCGCCCTGCATACCGCGGCCGCCAGATCCCCAGTCTCCCGATGATCCCTGGTGGTCCCGCCCCCCACCCCGCCCTACATGCCGCGGCCGCCAGATCCCCAGGCTCCCGATAATCCCTGGTGGTCCCGCCCACCGCGCCGACTCGCCCACTCTGCATAACGCGGCCGCCAGATTCCCAGGTCCCCCACAGAACAGCGCATAACACCACGCCACCGAACAGGACATATCCGAGCATAACATACCGTATCATGACAGACCATATCATAACATATCACGCCATGAGAGGGCATTGCATACCACAGCATCACAGCACATACCATTCCATAACATCACAAGCCACGCATACCATAACAAACCAACGCAGACATGAACATACCAACACAGCACATGCCGCATCATCACACGACATGGCATGGCATATCGTATCACACCGTAGCATAACGACGCATGCTATGACATA